TGTATTTAAAAAAATTAACATATAAAAAAAAAATATATTATATATATATGTATATATTACCCTATCTATATAGCAAAATGGAATATATATATATATATATATATATATATATATATATATATATATATATATAATATTCACCTGCATTAAAAAGATGGAGATTTGTTGAAAATATCACAGCATAATAGTTACACCCACAGACACACACACACACACACACATATATATATATATATATATATATATATAGAGAGAGAGAGAGAGAGAGAGAGAGAGAGGTTGCTTTATTAGCTTAATGATGAGCAAGTTACTACTGAGTCCTGAGATCGATACTCACTGAAGGTTTTATGTCTATCACCCTACGCCTAAAGATCCAGCTTCAATCGAAATACAGTACCATGCGAATTTAATCAATTGTAAATTTCTAATAACTCCCATTTTATAAGTGGAGGATTTCTATTGTGATGTCGGCAGATGAAACTTTGGCCACATTGGAGTCATTTTCACATCTAATTGTCATATTTTTAGCATGTGTTCTGGAGGCGATTGGCAAAAGATTTCAGTCACCCCACATAAACTAATTCAGATATCATGTTTTAAAACAAGTAAATTGTGTGTAATAAAAATTTATCATATCATTTTTTCCATAATTAATTATATTATTAATTTCAAGAAGTTAATGTACATTGTTAATATTTTGTGTGGCTTCCTATAGCTTGAATAATTGCTTCAGTGCACCTGGGATTGGATATATATAAATATATATATAAATCCTTCACCCTCTTCAATACTAGATATCATTACCTGCGGTTGGGCTCCCACAATTCAAGATCGCGTGGATTCTTCTGATTAATTCTACCCATTAGTTCTGTCAACATTTGATTCATGGTTTAAGCCTGGGCTCTAATCTGACCAATGAGGAGATACATTTATCAATCAGTCTCTGTTGTATTGCATGCAATCTGTGCTATGGAGCTCTGTAATGCTAAAATTCTCACCATCATCCAAAATTTAATATCAAATGTTCCTTTAGCAACAGGGTGTATTTGGCACTATTCAAGCTATTGTCAATTTTAACCAATTTTCTTGAACCATCATTTTGATGCAATCCTGAAACATCAGACTTCAATTCCACAAACTTCAGTTTTTGTTGTATAAGGTGGGGCATTTTATGTTCCTGTTGGCCTCCTGACAAATTCACACTTATTAGAATGCAACTCCTTCGTTTCATCTCTGAATGTCATATTACCACACATATCCGCTTCTCACAGTGTTTATCATTTTGACGAACTTAATATGGTCTTCAAATGCTTTTTGTTTAAAACTGCTTTCTTCATTGAAATGGATGTCTTCAGTCGATGTTCTTGAAGGATTATCTATTGACACCAATTTAAACATGGTACACTCATCTGTTAGTTTTCTTTACCTGAGCTTTTCGCTCTCCTGGTTAGTTTCTGTATTATCCTATGATGCAGATTTCTAAACAGACTATAGTTTGGTCGATTCAAAACTCTTCCAGTGCTTTGAGACTTCGAGAGGATTTCTGAAATGCTGCTTCTTGACATTACAAGTTCCTTAGCAATTGCTCGCTTGTTCATATCTTGTTGCCATATTCAATATCTTCATCCTGGTTTCCTTGAACATTTTTCACAACGATTACAAGTAATGAAAGAATGCAAGAAATCAATGTTAGAATTTACCCTATAGGTTGAAAAAGAATCATGTTCGAGAAAAAAAAAATGCTTTTAGTGATGGAACAGAAAAAAGAGCCAGGTCGGGGAAAAATTTGCACGGCTATTTTTGGGTGACGTCTCGCATCTTCTCTCCTCGTTCAGAACCCCTGCTAAAAAAAATATTAGTAAGTGTGAAAATAACTCCAATATGGCTAAAGTTTCATTTATAGACAGCTGAAAAAGCATCCATTTATAAGATGGCAATTATTATAAACTAGCAGGATAACCCGTCTTCGACCGGGGTATCCTGCTAGTTTATTATACTCCCTAGATTATGACCATGTGCCAATGAGTGTATCTTTAAGCATGAACATGCACAGAGTATTAACGATTTGCAAAGATTTGCGCGGACGGTATAATGAATAGCGGCTCAGAATGAGACAACAGAGAGCCGAGTTCGAATTCACCATAAGTTTATTGCATTCAATAGAAATAGACCCCTGAGATGTAGGAGGTGGGCTACAGTCCTCAGCATGTGACGCATTGTTGCTGTGGTTTCTCTACCAACTAGTAAGATTTTAAGGGATGGATTTCCTAGTTCCATGTCCAACCGGTTTGGAATTCAGAGATGTCATTCTCCTTGACTGGTTACTAACCACAGCTAAAGAAACCAACCTGACATACTATTTAATCCATCTCTAGGAAGAATAGATGAATTCATATTTTTCCCAAGGGTATTGAATTCAATAAATTCGAGAGGGATTTGAACTCGGATCTCCGTTGTCTCATTCTGAGCCGCTATTCATTGTACCATCCGCGCAAATCTTTGCAAATCGTTAATACTCTGTGCATGTTCATAGGGAGTACTAGTTTAAAAATCAAACTCTTTTGAATGGTTTCATCGACTAAGACAGGATTAGAATTTCTATCCCTGTAAATTTGTGTATTTAAATTAAATGATGACATGAATATATTGAATAAGTTCAAATTATGCATGAAGACACGTAGTGTGATAAACAGCATTAGCAATAGCTTGCTGTCGTTAGTAATCATGATCTATCCGAGAATTAGAATAATTAGATGCTTCGCATTTGAAGCACAAAGAAAGGGGCTGTCATGCAGCAAAATCAGCGATCGATTTCTTCTACAGGAAAAAAAAACAAACTATTTTCTCTTCCAATGTATATTCAAACAAACCAATGACTTACTATACTTTTGCCTATTAATCTAGCCTCGGCTTCAGTAGTTCCTAATAAGGAAGTCCGTTTAAATGCCACCAAATACAAACTCTCGCATGATTCCGTTTAAAATGATAAGTTGAAGGCAGTTCTGGATATAGACACCATATTCTTATTTTAATTTTTAAACACCATCTTGTTCCATAATTACGATTTTCCGAATTGTTTCTCTGCTCTTCTTGCAAAATGCTTAAAAGTATTATCTCCCAAGTCTGTCCTAGTGCATAATATTCAGTTGGTGCATAATTATCAGGCGTTTTTCAAACAATATTTATTATGAAAAACCATAACAATTCAACTATAATATTTTAAATGATTATTCCGGAGCGTATGATTATCGACACGCATTTTTATAACCTGAAAATAAAATATTTTTATTAAAAAAAAAAAAAAGGAAACAAAACAGCAATTTTTATTAACAAATAACTCGCCTACAAAAACGCCTGATAATTATGCACCAACCCCAATATATTGACAAGAAAAAAATTTGATATTGAGATTTTACAGTGATTAACACAGAAGAGACGTGAGTGAACAATTAATTAAATTAGTCACTGATAAAGTGCTTACCTGCCTCGACAGTGATAAGAGAAAGCTGTTACCCCCCCATTATCAGCCTTCGTTTATTGGTCTCTGGCACAAGTTCAAATAACTCAAGGAATATTGCTGCCACATAAGGGTCCCTGCTATTTACTTGAGCTTCTTGATAAAATCCAGAGAAGAATCAGCAATATTATTGGTCCTGATCTGGCGTCTCGGCTTCAATCACTTAGCTACCGCCGTAGGGTTGCTTCTCTGTGCTTTTTCTATAAATACTTTCATGGTAATTGTTTGGGTGAGCTCTTCGCTAGGGTATTATGGTGGTTGTAGTAAGAAAGGTACGTATGAATGTGTTGTTTTGGTGCAAGGAATATTGTTCGTACGATTGGGTCAGTGTTTGCGGCTAGCTAAGTTGTAGTTAAGACAGAAGAAGACCGTCCTTTCCCCAATCCCCTTTTCGGCCTTGTGCCACATTTCTTTAGAGAACAGAATAAATATCACTCTTCGCTAGGGGACGTAGACTTTTTGAATTTAAGCGCAGTACGAGACTGGCGTTGAGATCTCATCAATTTACAGTTGAGCTGGCTAGATGTGCGGTTGTGCCAGGATCCGTCGCCCGGGACGCAGAGATTAAAAAAATAGTTAAATATTCCTCTCTTGCTGATAGATTTTTTTTGACTCCTGTGGCAGTGGAGATATCAGGGGTTATTGGCCCTCGTTCGATGGCGTTCCTTCGGAGGATTGGCGCGATTGCGTCTCGATTAAGGGACGAGCCTCGCGAAACGGAGTGACTCTTGCAGTGTGTCTCACTGGCCATGGTTCGAGGTAATGTTTTCTCCATCATTGCGGCTGGCAGAGGATAGAAAAATTTTTTATTGTTACGTTGTTCTGGAATTCTCATCAGTGGTCAACTGAACTTGTTTTGTTTCAATAAATTTATTCATTTTTATTCAAAAAAAAAAAAAAAAATTCAAAGAAACTGAAAAAAAAGATAATAAAATATTGATAAACCGTAAATTCTATGCTAACAGTTTCTTTTCTCGCACTTCTCGCTAGTGGAACTCCCTTCCGGCTCCATGGTTCTAGCCAAATTAAATCTGCAAAAATTTAAATACAATGTCAAACACTATTTACTGCCCCCCCCTGATTACTCTTTCCACTTCCCGATCATTATTAATGTTTCTGTTTCTAATTTTTCCACACACTGTAACCCCCTTGTGTCTTAGTGGCTTTACTGCCTTGCGTGAAGTGATATTGATAAAAAAAAAAAAAAAAAAGAATGCTGATTTCTAAGGGAAGTTATTCGGCACATCAGCATTGGGTAATGATTAGTGTGCCAGGCTGGCTGGCGATTATCACTAAGCAATGGGTTCGATCCTCACTGTGTGCCCGGCTTCCTAGATTAAAGCAGATTAATGGGTGATTACTTAACTTAACAGATTAACCAACCTGTAATATCAGGAATTGGATTATGTCTCTTCGTTAAAACATTTTATTCAAGTTAATGATTATATTTATAATGATAAAGCAAATAATAACAGGGCACATCGCATTGAAACATTGGTTCCTGTACGATTACCGAAGTTAAGCAATGTCGAGCTTGGTTAGTACCTAAATGGGTGACTGCTTGGGAGTACAAGGTGCTGTAAGCTTGGATGTGCAGGTGGTGTAATGGATAATCGGAGAGCCGAGTTCCAATTCCTGTTGTGTTCTTTGTATTCACTTACACGCAAATACCCTTGGGAAAGGTATAAATACACCTCTTCTCTCCCAGCTATGGGTTAATTAGTAAGGCTAAATAATCTTACAATCTAAAACTCTCTTCTGGCTTTAAACAGCCTGCAAAGGGTTGATAAGTCGTAGAAAACGAATTAATCAAAAAAGGTAACAGCTTATGGAAAATTCATTGGATATTATTTTACTAAAGGAATGCTTTTAATTATTTTAATAGTAGAAAACCATAGTGTTTGTTGCTCGCTGAAAACTACAATCTTGATCACTTTAAGTTGAGGGCCAACCGATATCGATCCTACTCGTCCTCATAACAATCTCATACTTCCCCTTCCCCCTTCCCTGCAATATTACTCAGTAAGCCTCTACCTTGGATGACTCTTGGGCCTTGTATTGGGTAAAATTTCAGTAATAAAAAAGTAGATCTTTATGTAACCACGGTGCTAGGCTGAGTTACTTTGGGAAGTTCAGCGTCATTAAATTTTATAATTCATTACTTGCAACGTTTCTTTTTTAATAAGCTCAGTGAACATGGCCTCTTGATAAAAAGGAGGTTAATTCCAAATTAAGTAGCGATAAGTTTTCAAGTGTCGCCCAATACACTACTCTCAATTCAATTTCGCGGCTCTGTGATATCCTAGGTAGAATTTATTAAACAAATGCATCAAACTTTTATTCATTCGAATGATTACATATAAAGTGACAGAACAAATAATAAAGCATATAAAAGAATTTCAATGGAAATTATTTAAATACTAGAATTTTTTGCAATACGCGTCAGCGTGTTGAAATCTTTACAGTATTTAGTATTGTTTAGTAACTTATCGCTAACATTTTTGTCGAGATTTACAAACTCTACGTTTCGTTCAATTTCGCAATCCATTCGTTGAAATTTGAATAAACGGATTTGTTTGGAAAAATACTTTGACAAAAAACCTACTTCGCAGCTTACTAATTTCTTTAATTTAATTTAATTTTATAGGATGTTATAATTAACCTTATTTTTTAAGAAAATTTCTTTTTTTCCTTTTTAACAGCGAAAAATAAATTTTTAGAATTTCTTACTCTTGAGCTGCAACATACAACTGGCTATGCGTAAATATTTCAAATTCCAACTTTTTGGAGCCTTTGGCCTTGTGATTTGCTTATAGTTTTCGCAAATGCAGGGCGAACTGGAAACTGGATTTTTGTATATATCAATACTTAAAGACATGCAAAAAACAACATTGCATTTTTATTAAATAAGTATTTATTATTTTAATCGTTAAATTGTTTTTAAAATAGTTGGAGTATTTTGTATATTAATTAATAACCCTTTATCTGTTTGCACTTCTCAAAATTTGGTTTCGACCGGTCAATGTATTTTAGAGGGTGTGACGGACGAAAGAACAAAAGTCACAGAATTTTATATATAAATGACTTGTATATGTAACCCGTAATTTCACTGGTAGAATTTTGTAAAAGAATACGTGAAACCTTTCGTTCACTTTAATGATTACATACATAAGAATACTCCAGTTACTAAAAGTACATATAGAAATTCACTGTGAATTATTTTACCATATAAATGCAATGGAAATTATTTTAATACAGTTCAACCTCAATTCTTGAACGTCTCACCTGTCGAACAAATCGGTTTTCGAACAGAAAATTCGAGATGAAAATGCATCGGTTATCAAACAAAATTTCGGTTCTCGAACAACATTGGCGAACCTAGTTAACCCGAACGGAATAATTTCTGAGTCGACCGCCATGTTGTATATATTCGTGTGTTGTGTTGTGCTTTTCTTTTCCAAATTTATTGTACTGTGCCTTTTTTTTTCTCTCTTTATTAGTCCTTAGTCATAGATCCAAAGAATACTAGTTGTGATACTGGTAAAGGAAAAAGAAAAGTTAAGATAAAAAATAACAATTGTTCATGATATTGTCTCTTCTTATTCAGTTTCATATGGCAAAATCAACGATCTATCTATACTATTCTTATAAATAAAGAGACGATCATGTCTTTCCTTCCCTTTTCCAAACAATAACATCTCTTTCCTTCTCCTTCCACTTCCACCATCAACTCTCCTAGATGCAGGTACGGTAAAATTTGAAGTGTTCGTTTATATTTTATCTGTTTAGTATTGGGTTTATTTACTTTTTTTCTTAGATTTAATGATTTTCATTAGTTTTATGCATTATAAGATTTTCATTAGTTTTGTGTATAAACTTGTGCCTAAAGTAATGTTCTTATGTTTAAATAAGCAATCATCTTGGGACCAGGAACGGATTAATGTATTTTACATTGATTCCTATTGGAAAAATAGTTTCGGTTTATGAACATTTCGTGTTACGAACGGGCTTCAGGAACGAATTCGAGAACAGAGGTTTCACTGTATTAGGATACCCGGTGCCGTGAAAAAATGACAGCCATCGATAGAAAGTATTAATAATGAGATGCAATGAAACAAAAGACTTGAAACAATGTATTGAGATTAAATAAAATGGAGATAAAGAATACACAACTAAAATAGACGCCAATGAATCGTTTAATTAATTCATTCCCTTTATATTTTCAGACGTTCAATGGTACCTAGGATTCATTGATTACTCCTGATATTATATAAATCGCTTTTCGTTCAATATCTTTTCATGTTAAAAATTTTATGTATTTAATATAACGGTGACATGGAAATATTTCTCTGAAGAAAAAGATAAGCGACAAAGTCGACGACGGCAAAGCCTATTTCAAGACCAAGTTGAAGCAAAGCGACCACTTAACAGGCAAAGGTATCTGAGGGCCTCACATGAAAGGCTTGAACAAATAAGACTGCAATCTAAGAAAGTAGGAGTAATAGAACTGATTAATTATATGGTTCATTTTGCTCAAGAACTAATTTTGTCTAAATATCGATAAATATTTTAATTATATGGATTATTAAAACGACTAAGGGAAGTAACCACTAATGAATTTACTAACTCAAGTTGATATAACTTCGCCCCTACTACAGATGGGACGGGAATTTTATAATTAAGTACACATTGATAATTATTATATGGTTTGATCAATTGATTATATAACCTATGATTTCAAACGTGGGATTTTGGGAAGAAATATGTCAAACCTTTCATTAAGTCTAATGATTACATAAAAATAGACATAGTAAATAATATAAGCACATATAGAAATTCATTTAAAATTAATTTATTATATAAATACATTGAAAATTATTTTACTGGAGAAATGTATTGACTATGATATCCCAAGTATGCATTAAAGAAATATATTAAAGCTTTCATTCACTTTGATGAAAACTTATATAGAGACACAATTAATTATAAAAGTATATATAAAAATTCATTGGGAATTATTTTACTAAAGATTTTTTTTAAGCAATTCACCCCAAGCAATGCAAGAGTGCCAGTAGCACGCAAAGGGTTACAGAGGATTGAGAACAAGAGTAAAGAGGCGTGTTTGAGGAAAGGATACAGAGAAGGACGGGGAACAAGTTCAAGGTATCAGAAGATGTCGATTGACATTACACTTGAATATTTAAAGATTATAATTATCAGGGAAGCAAGCAAGTTCCACAGACGGAAAGTGCTGTTGGAATAGAAGAGACGATTACATTTCACCGTTTCGACAGTGAAAGGGTGGAATCGAGATGCCAGCTCACTTAAATTCATAATTTTTACTTTCATATACAAACCATGATCCAAAACGTAGGATTCATTATGAAAATGCATAACAACTTTTATTGGCGGTCCTGATTGTCAAGTGACACAGCAGTTTCTGACGGTGTTGATGGGGAGGGAAGGAACAATAACGATGCTTTTTATCACCGATTGAAACTTAGCCAGTTATACAAAGGCAAGATTTTTCTTTTCACAACTCACCTTATTGTTGCTCCAATACTTCTCAACTTGGCTTGAATTATTTTATACAGTGATAATTCTAACGATGGGAAAAATGTTGCTTAAAAACCAAATTGATTTCTTTATTTTTGCAAACATTTTATTTAGCAGGTTTTGGTCATCAACGCTTATGTTGTGTATTTAAAATCAAAAAGAAATTGTTTTTTGTTTGTTTGTTTGTTTGTTTGTTGGGTTATTTAATGCCGAAATCTAAATATTTTGAACACAATTTTATGGCATAAACTAACTATATTTTGAACGTAATTCTGTGCCTTCAACTATAGTTAAAATGTATTGTTAGTCATTTTGCTATAAAATGTATTGTTGGTAATCCTACTATAAATATGTATTGTTGGCCACTTTTACATACTAATTTATCGCTGGTATTTTTTACTATAAAATGTATCTTTTATACTTTCAGAGTGTTTTGATTTTGTTTTGGAGTTCACTTTTTGCCCATAGTTAGGACCCTAACAGGTGCTACCACCCAGGGTGACGGTGAACCTGGGAAAAACAGCAATTAGGAGGGGATTCCATACTCCTCAACACTTTGCTGCCGGATGTAGTTTATCGTCATACCCAAGACTCAGAATAAATTATCATTGGCTAGTTATTCAAATAGGAACTGCCAACTGAACGGAGATATTATATGCATTACATGTAGATTTTTTGCTCGTCGTTTTAATATAAGTAAACAATGCAAAATTTTTATGATAGAAAATTAATTCTAAACGATTTTCCTCAGCAGATGCGCGCAAAATTAAAAGAAAACGATTGTCATTTGTTAGGGATTAAATTTAGCATCACTGACAGTATGGAGTTATTACGAGTAGAATAAATGTAATACTAATTATTTTACAATAGAAAATATCTATATCTATAATTCTCTAAATGTGTGTGTGCGCGCGTGTGTGTGTGCGTGTGTGTGTCCGATTTTGATGACATTTTTTGCTTGATAAATAATTCTTCAGTGCCGGTTTTGAGCCCGAATTGTTTGCGACAATGGCTCTCCACTACTTCCT